AGCAGAAAACAAACACTGCTGACAAAGTTGGCTTTTGTCTCAGACTACAGACACAAACAGTAGGAATGAGGTAAATTCTCACAGTTACCTCAAGACTAATCAATTTCTATTTAGACAATATTAATACATATTGGATTCTCATGCTCCCATTATAGATTGCCTGGAAATGTAGAAACGTTTACAAACGTCTGCTGACCTCTGATCATCCTCTGTACAAAAATCAAGAGTTATCATTTTAAATTTATGAAGTTTTGCAGTGCCCTGAAAATGGTTAATTTTTGGTATTTAACTCAGTTTAAAAAGCACAAACATTAAAGATAAAAGGCAGTTCACACACGCAATTTTACATTTCCTGATATCTATAGTAGGAAAATGCTAGATAAGAGAATTAAATGTGAGATGTCCAAGTTTGCAGAAAGCAGGATGGGAGGGTGAACTACAAGGATATAGCAGCAATGCATGTGTGATTCGGACTAGTTAACTGAATGGACAAATGTATTATAGATGCAGTATAAATGCAGATTATGGAATCTTCCTCTTTGGTAGTTAGAGCAGAAGGCAGATAATTCAAAATGGCAACAGATCGACAAAGGGGGAGATGCAATGAGACCTCTGTGTCCTTGTACACCAGTCACTGAAAGCAAACATGCAAGTGCAGCAGGTGAAGGAGGCAAATGTTGACCTTAGTAGTGAGTGCAATTGGTTACAGGAGCAGGGATGTTCTGCTGCAGTTGTATAGGACTTGGTGAGACTACACCTGGAGTATTATATGCAGTTTTGGTCTCTTCAGAGGAAAGATGCTTTGGCTTTGGATAGCGTGCAAAGGCTGACCAAATTGAGTCCTCAGATGGCAGGTCAGACATATAACAAGAGACCAGATTGGTTCATACTATATTCACTGAAGCTTAGATGAGGAGAATCTAAGAAACCTATAGAATTCTAACAGAGCTAGACAAAGTGTGTGCATGTTCACAATGACTGAGGAGTACAGAACCAGTGGTCTCAGTCTAAGGATGTCAAGCAGGCCATGTAGGACTGAGATGGGGAGAAATTCCTTCATCCAGACATTGATGAGCCTGTGAAATTCACTACCACAGAAAGTGGTTAAGGCCAAAACATTTAGGCTCTTCAAGGAGGAGATAACTATAGTTCTTAGGGCTCAAAAAATCAAAGGGTATAGAACAAAAGCAGGAACAAAAGGCACTGAGTTGGATGACTAGCTATGACCATAACAAATGGCAGAGCAGTCTTGAAGGGTTTAAATGGCCTACATCTGTTCTTATTTTCTATGCTTCTCTTATATGGATAGTAGTATCATGATCAGAAAAGGATAAACTAACATTCACATAGGCTAACAGATCTGCTTGGGTATTGCTCAATTAAATGGGAATTTGCTTTTTTTTTAAAAAAGGCAAGTTCTATATTCTGTAATGCAAGATGTGGTTTCTCATTTTGTTCAGTTTGAAAATACGTATGGTAAGATTTGCAAATCATTTATGAAACGCTGTCACATGTACTTTGGCAGAACACAAACAGCAAATCTTGCTTCGAGGCATTTGAAACTAATCCATGTCATTATAGAGGTTTATGATGAATCATTTTTGGGCTAAACAACACACCCTCCCATCAAACATTGAAAGCTTTCAATTCAATGAAGCGGTAAGCACCTGCAGAGTACACCAACAGTATCAGCATTTATATATGATGCATCAGCCAGAAAGTCCATAACTCAGATGCTGATGTATTTATTCAGAGACATCTGGATACAGGAATATACATAATTTCTCAGGAAATTTGAGAAGGAATTTAGCTGGTTTCTCACTAAGCTTTATCATTGCTTTGCCCTGCTCTGTTTAGTCTATTTAAAGATTTAAAAAAACTGCTTTGCAATTAGCTGTGGCAATCAGGGTTCCATTGGTAGGGAGGTAGTTCATGGGGTCAGCAGGAATGTATACACTGACTGAATAGCAAAGTCAAACACCACGTGGGTAGATGCAGAAATGACACTCTCTGAAAAAGAAAGTAGAAAGGTAGCACAATATGCAGACCAGTGCAGAAAGGAGACTGGAGGTACGCAGAGGTTTTCATAAAATAGCAGATGTGTGCAACTTGCTAAGAAAGGTGTTTACCAGTGATTTCTGGAATTGTATTTCATTTTTCTGGCATCATTCCTTTGCTCGAGGGTGTTTGGCTTTACACACAAGTCTAGCCTGAAGTAAATTTATGGGAATCCAAGGGCAGGGAAGGAAGGGCCCCTGGACCAGATGGACTACACCCGAAGAGTTCTGAAGGAGACAGCTGAAGAGATAGTGGAGGCTTTAGTGGTGATCTTTCAGGAATCACTGCAGTCAGGGAGGGTCCCAGAGGACTGGAAATTTAACACCCCTGCCCCCCGTCAGGAAATTACAGGCTGATTAACCTGACCTCTGTCATCACTAAGATTTGAGTCCAGTGTAAAGAATGAGCTTTCTGAATACTTGAATTGCATAGTAAAATAGGGCAAAGTCAGCATGGTTTCATCAAGGAGAGCCAACGGAGGTTATCTACATGGACTTCCAGAAGGCCTTTGACAAGGTGCCACACAGGAGGACGCCGAGTAAGGTAAGAGCTCATGGTGTTAGAGGCAAGGTACTAGCATGGATAGAAGATTGGCAGAAAGCAGAGTGGGGAAAAAGGGGGTTCTTCTCAGGATGGCAGCCAGTGACTGGTGGAGTTGATCTGTGGAATTCCTTGCCCAGTGAAGTAGTTGACATTACTTCAGTAAACGCTTTTAAAAAAAAAAGGTAGTTTTTTTTGAACAATAAAGGAATTAAGGGATACGGTGACAACGCGGGTAAGTGGATCTGAGTCCACGAAAAGATCAGCCATGATCTTATTGAATGGCGGAGCAGGCTCGAAAGGCTAGACGGCCTACTCCTGCTCCTAGTTCTTATGTTCTATGAGTTCCACTCGGGTCAATGTTGGGACCACAACTTTTTATTTTATACATTAATGATCAAATGAAGGAACTGAGGGCATTCTGCCTACATTTGCAGGTGATACAAAGATAGGTGGGGGGACAGTAGTATTGAGGAGGCGAGGAAACTGCAGAAGGATTTAAAACAGATTGAGAGAGTGGGCAAAGAACTGGCAGATGGAGTACAACATAGGGAAAGTGTAAGGTCATGTATTTTGGTAGAAGAGAAGCAGACTATTTTTTAAGTGGGGAGATAATTCAGATAACTGAAGTGCAAAGGGACTTGGGAGTCCTAGTCCTGGATTTTCTTAAGGTAAACTTGCAGGTTTAGTCTGTAGTTAGGAAGGCAAATACAATGTTAGCATTTATTTCGAGAGGACTAGACTATAAAAGCAGGGAGGTACTTCTGAGGTTTTAAAAGGCTCTGGTCAGATCATGTTTAGAATATTAAGCAATTTTGGGCCCTATATCTCAGGAAGGACGTATTTGGCCTTGGACTGGGTCGAGAGGAGGTTCATGAGAATAATCTCAGGAATGAAAAGCTTAATATGAGGAATGTTTTGAGGACTCTGGGTCTATACTCAACAGATTTTAGAAGGATGGTGGGGGGGATAAATCTAATTGAAGCTTACAGAATACTGAAAGGCCTGGATAGAGTGGATGTTGGGAAGATGCTTCCGTTAGCAGGACAGACAAGGACCCGAGGGCACAGCCTTAGAGTAAAGGGAAGACCCTTTAGAACAGAGAGGAGGAGAATCTTCTTCAGCCAAAGAAAGAAAGAATGGTGAATCTATGGAATTCATTGCCACAGAATGCTGTGGAGGCTGGGTCATTAAGTATGTTTAAGACGGAGATAGATAGGTTTTTGATTGTCAAAGGTTGCAAAAGGAGAAGGAGTGAGAATAGGTTTGAGAAAATTATCAGCCACGAGTGAATGGCAGAGCAGACTCAATGGGCTGAACAGCCTAGTTTTTGCTCCTTTGTCTAATGGTCTTATCTTATAGGGCAGGAACAATTACCAAGAACATTAAGCAATTTAATTTGTTGGCTGAGTCGTGTTTCCTCATTGCTCAGCTTTGTTTTTGAAATTATGGTTCTGATTGGATTTCTCCCTGAAAATATACATCTTCTGGTATTTTGCAATGCAAATAAAAAAGAAACTAAAAATAGAAGGGAGTTTCTTAAAAAAAATGAACATTTATATTTGATCTTATTTTTAAAAGACAACTTAACTGAAGTAACCTGTATGAGTTATACTAATATACCAAAATTAGTAAGTATTATAATTTTACTCTCGCAATCCAAAATATCAATAACAAATTAAGACAATTAATACTGAAAGTCTCTACAGATTATAAACATAAATATTTATCATCTTGTTAAACACAACTCCATACTAGCAAGCTGCCAGGACATCTGCACAGAATACTATGACAACCAAAAAGTAAAATGGTTACAAGCAGCATTGTCTAAAATGTTCACAGGAAAACATTTTAAACACCACAGTTCAAAAAGGTTCCTTTTGTTACTAAGAGGGCTGGAATTTCCTTTCAGACTGCATGAATGAAAAGTTATGAAGTAGAAATGTAGAACAAATAAGAAAAAGCAGTTACAACTAAATGAAGATGAACTCATTTTTTAAAAAAATATGATGATTTTGAGGGAAGTAGTTACATTTCAGTTAGACCAGACTAAAGGCACAATTCAGGGACACAACATTCTCTCAAAATGATAGGTTTAAAAGGCTCAACTCTATGTTTCATAGAATGTCTTCACCATGTCGAAATTTACAAGATTATAGGTGTCCCTGCTTTCTACACAATCATTAATGTACCATAATAAGCCAACAGTATGACAGCAGGCTTCATTATCATAAGTTAGCGTTAAGAACAGAGAAGGTCATTCCAACCTCAAAACTTAGATCTTAATGCTAGAGATCTCAGATTCAATCAGAGCTTCTGCATAATGCTTCCTTCCTTGACATCAAAGCAGTAACCACCACTATAAATACTACTTAAGAGAATGAATAAATGATGTGCTCTAGTTCAGGCACTTTCAAAATCATTGTTTATTAACTGAAAGGTAAAAAGCTAGTATACAGATCAGGGATCCCTTTATTTTTAAGTCTACAGTTCTACACCATCTAGCAATTTTGCTTTGAATATTTAAACAAAAATAATTTCCAAACACCTGTCAGCCCCATCATTAATATGTAGTATTCCTTGAATCACTGTATTTGTAATCATCTCTGTTATATATACACATCTGGTGAAACCAGCAGCAGTGAAGCAAGCAAAGAAAAAAGCTTATAGGTTAAAAAAGGCAATAATTGTTTAAGATGATATGCTAAAATCAAAGTTTTATATAAAACTAATAAAATCTGTGCCATTATTGGAATATTTGCTATTCGACAAAAAGAATATCCTTAATAATTACGGTGACATTCATTGCTACAAACAATTCATATTCCATGCCTATAAAAGAACGTTTTTAAAAGCTGGACACTAATCAAATGTTAGTAATACTTGCACAAAAAAAAAGTTGTGATTTCACATCCTTTTTCAGTGTACAAAGAACAGAGAAATGAAAAAAATTGCACTCAGCTTGCCAGTCACAAGTGTTCTTTGACATGAAATATATTCTTTACAATGACATAGAACCAACTCTTACTGTACATTGATTAACATAATAAAAGGCTACGCGTAGGTCAAAGTACGTGCTAGTACGTACTTTTCCACATACATCAAAATCACATACAAGAGTTTTGCACATGCTTTACAGAAGAAGCCCCTTTCCACCATAAATCAGTGGCTAAGCACAGATGAGGTCAGGTGTAGAATTCATTGTGTCTTGCAAAAAACTAGGATGGAGTAGATAAATATATACGTCGAACTATATACATAATGTACTGGAATGTTGGCTATCCCAGAAATGCTTCCATTTAAAAATGTGAATTGATGGACCATTGTTAGAAGGCACCGTCTGCCAACTAAGCTGATGTAATAATTTAAAAACAGAGATGCCTTACAAAAAAGTATATATGTAACAAAAACATATAAACTTACAAAAACTAACAGAAATCTTCTAACTTTAAAGAAACTGTTATTCTTCTGTTACAGGGTAAGGATCAAAAAGATAGAAGTGACTGCACTCCATCTATTCTCAGATGAGAATGTCTCAAGGTAGGAAAATGCAACGAAATTGTGATTATGTACTTACTCTTGGAGACTCGAACAAGAATAAAAATAATTCCATTTCCTAATCATGTGTTATAATTTACCAGGTGCTTGCAAGCTTTAAAGGTCTTCTAGTTTTATTAATTTGCATGGGAAGATCTATTTTCCAATGTCCATTGTGAGCAGTACTGCCACAGTAGCTCAATAGTTTCACTCCTGTCATCACAATGAATACTTTGATGACATTTTACAGCTGATGACACACTGTGGATAACAATATGGCAAAGCTTTACTTAAACTTCTATAGTGTAGTGTGTGCCGGCCTCCTAAATTTAGGCAACTGGTTTTAAAAGTATGATGGGATGGGGTGGAAACAAAACACTAGACATTTTTATTTTACATCTCACCTTTATAACAATATTAACATTTTAAACTGGAGCAAAAAATACTGCAGTACAAAGGCAGATATTTAACATTTTATACTGCAGTACTTTTATTAAAAATGTAACTTTGTAAATAGCAATGCCATTTACAGTCCAGATAAATTACACATTTGATCAGTTATTAGATCTACCAATCTTTTTCATTCCTATCACACAAAATTGCTGACAGACAAAACATCTTGGTAGGCTGATTATGAATTTATCAGGAATAAATTGCATTTGCTCTTTTTTTGACAGAATCACTTAAATGCACGTGGGTCGAGAACCAGACAGGCCACAAAACAAAGTTTACTGTATTTCTTTGGCTGTACTAAATGCAGTGTTTCATCGGCCATTTATGATCTTCCTGGACTAATTGGAAGCAAAGCCTTTAGCAGCTTGAAAAGGAAAAGGACAAATTTAGTGGAGAAAAAAAAATTGTTTTAGGAGGACATGAATAATATGAAAAAGGAAAAACAGGAAAAAAGAATATACTTCACACAATTCAATATATTTTACTTAGTAAAGGCTGCCACTACAGCCCAGAGCAATTCATTTGTATTAGGCTTCATAGATTCAACTTCAGGATCCAAGTCCAGTAATTGTCGCACTCTTTTCATGGCCAAGTCATAATGTTCATCCAAGAGCGGGGCAAAAGCATTTTCCAGTACATCTGAGGCATGGGCTAAGTAAATGAGAGCAAGAAGGCGTTTGTCCATCCGGTGAGGGTCATTTACCCACTTATCCAGCACAGCTTCCTGCACTTTTTTGATGAGACGCTGTTTGATGACATTGTTGGTAAGCGGATGAGTCGTCATGTCGAATAGCAGGAAGTTCTGCTTCTCTGTAGTCAGTACACCTTTCTCCACCAAGTTTTTAGCCAATCGTTCACGGACATTTCGCAATTGATAGTGTAGTTTTAATGGATTCCATGTTTCACCTTAGGGTGCAAGAAAAACAAAAGAAAAATACATAATTAATATATATCAGGTTTATATATGAAGGAGTTAGAATAAACAAAACTTAAAGTTCAAATTTGTTTGACGTGATCATTGCTGTAAATCTGAATGCCAGAGGACCAAGAATCCAAAAATTAGGAAAAAAATGCTTAAAATGTCAACGTTTAGAAAATAACTAAAAGGAATAGAGGAATATATTAACATTGAGCAGAGAAATTACTCTCTCAATTAAGTCCCTTCAAATTAGATAAGAAATGCTTCAAGTATGCAAATGCATTGGAAGTAATTCAGAGAAGGTTTCCCTAAATAACATTGAAAAGACTGGGTTGGCTTATGATCACGGTTCCACTTAATTTTCTACTGGCTGCGTGGGTCTCCCAAGGCACAGGTGTCACAGCAACTTCCAAAACTGAGGTCAATGCCTACCACCATGTGCAGAGCATCATCGGGGCTGCGTGGGGAGTGTAAAGGGAACATTGCATATGAGGAAGGGTTGGATGGGATAGGCTAGAAAGTTTAGAAGAATCACTGATTGAATACACAAGATCCTGAGGGATTTGGACATGGAGAGGGTTTCCTCCTGTGGGACGCTCTAGAACTAGGGATCACTGTTTAAAAATCAGGGATTGCCCATCTGAAACACATTAGGTACATTTTTCCCCCCTTCTCTCAGGTAATAAATCTTTGGAACTCTTCCTGAAAAAGGTAGTGGACGTAGAGTCCTTGAATATTCTTTTTTTTAAGGCTGAGGTGGATAGATACTTGTTAAGCAAGTGGGTAAAAGGTTAGCAGGATTGTGGATTTGAGGTTATACTACTATCAGGTCTGCATTAATCTTATTAATAGCGGAGCATATTTGAAGAATTCCTGCTCCTTGTTCACACAACCATTGTACAGAACCTCGGGTTATACAGTGAAATAATGCCATGCCCTTTCAACTCATGGACTGAGTTTGAAATCTATCCCTATTAATAAAGGAAGCTTCCTCGCCGAGTTACATTTTAAATGGATTTCAGCATGTTCCTGTCAAGACAAGAGAGGTTAGTTTGTACAAACAATAGGGAAAAAATACATATAGATGCAGTGGGGTGCCACCCTGTGGTTAAAGTCACGTAGAGGTTGGAGAAGACAGTTTTATTTTTGGAACTAGCTGCATTATTCCATATTTGACCTGATCAAGAAAGTGGAAAAGTGGGCCATTCACCAGCATAAATATACAAGTATATCATACACTCACTTCACCATTAGCAAAAATATAGCTACAAAATTAAAAACAGTGCTCAAGAAATTCGAACTAACAAGGTGCAATGGAAATCTGCTTAATATTTTGCTATTTCCACTAACAAACTTTACCTATAGATGGCAAGAGTCCTGAAAAGATAATTCTCAAAAATTCTCAATCTTCAAAGCTTGAAGCAATGAAGCACACCACACAAAGCTTCAAAGGTTATGGTTTACAAAACTACTACCCATTTTTAAAACTGTACTGGGGAGAAATCTCATACTTGAGGTGGAGAGTGTTGTAGTTCTAACAAACGGAGAAACCACAGTTCGTTAGTTTATGCTCCCTATTGCTACTCGAGTTATAATGGAAAGGGTGGCAGGTGAAGGCCAACTTACTTGCACGGTGGGGCACAAACAAACAAAAAAAAAATCAGCAGGGCAACCAACCAGTTTCACTCGCCCATTTTAGTGGTACTGGCAGAGAGTCAATCCAAGGATTATTATTAGTCCAGAATAACAACAAACATTGGGGGATGGCATGTGGCGAGCACTACAGCCTCAGTGCCAGGCACCCAGATTCAATTTCATCCTTGAGCTACTGTTCGTGTGAAGTTTGCACATTCTCCCCATGTCTGTATGGGTTTCCTCCCCCAGTCCAAATATGTGCAGGCTAGGTGAACTGGCCGTGTTAACTTGCCTATGGTGTCCTGGGATGTGCAGATTAGGTAGGTTAGCCATGGGAAATGTAGAGTTACAGGGTTGCGATAGGGGTTTGGGTGGGATACTCCTTGGAGGGTCAGTGTGGATTCAATGGGCCAAATAGCCTGCTTCCACACTAGGGATTCTGGGATTAAGCAAGATAATTGTCAGTATAAGAAAGGCCATTTCCGCCAAATCTCATTCTTTTATTTTATGAATCTGTCTTTTGTTAAAAACAAACCCAACAGTCACAACTTAGCAGATTACACGAAACATTTAAGTAATAAAAATGTCACCATATTATTGAATCAAAACACATTTAACTTGTTTTTAATCTCAATGCCTGTACTTGAGATATAGGTCATTAGGTCTTGGTGAAACACCAAAATGAGCACAGGAATATTTGTTACTACAGACCCCATTGTGAATAGCAGCTATGTGTACTTGTGTGAACGCCTTTACGCAAATGTACCTGATGAACACTAACCAACCAAGACAGCATGCAAGCCAAAAAGGGCAATGGTTCCCACACCATGAAGCTTTGCATCTTATTTAAAGCAAAAGTTTAGGTTGTTACCCAAAGATTGAATAATTGTCAATATTTCCGTATTTTGACTCGACAAATATTATATTCAACATAGTGTAAGCTGCATCAACAATCCCTAGATTAAACATTTGACCATGCAAAGCAGTCTCACATAAAGTGTGTAGGTTATTTGCTATATACAAGTCATGCTACCAGTGCACAATTTTACCCACAAAGCTTTTCGCAAATTTGTACATGCTTTACGAAATAACAATATACTCCAGTCCAACAGCGTAAATACAAAGCAGAGCCTTTAAAGAATACAAATCAAGATCAAATTCTCCAAGCGAAAACTGAAAGACAACACCCCTTCCAAAAAATAGTGGCCTCAAGCAGAAAGAGATCTTTTCCACATTCATTTTCTACAGTTTGTGTGCAATAAATCTTGTCAAACTGCTTTTTTATTAACACTTGATAAATTAAGGAGAAGATTTCCACTTAAGCTGAAATTTCCACTTCATAGGGATCTGGAGATTGTGGTATACAAGTTGAGCTGGTTTTTAAGAAAACCCAATTTTCCCAGCTCCAATTATTAGGCCCATACTTAGCATATAAGTCAAGCTCAAGGTCTCAGTGGTGCAATGATTATGTGCCTACCTCTGACCCAGAAGATTTGGGTTTAAGTTCTACTTGCCCTGGAGGTGTGCAAACAGGTTGATTAAAAGTATTTATAAAAGTCAACAAACTCTTAAGACGTACCATACTTACATTAGGATATGGCCTCAATTTTCCAAATCACATGCTTGCTTTACTGATCTTATAAAATGGCATATGGGATCAAGCAGTCAATGAGTCACGTAGCCAAGATAATGAACAGGAAATTAAGATACACAACAACAAACTGAATTGGGCTCTCTGGCCAGACAAATGAAGTATTAAATTGGTTTCAAGCTAAAAGTCACAACATGTTTACATAAGTGATCGGGATGTGAATGGTGCAAGGCATGATTAGTAAGTTTGCAGATGGTACAAATTTAGGAGGTATCATTGATAGCAAAGGAGGTTATCAAAAATTAGAGGGATCTTGATCAGATGGGGAGATGGGCTGAGGATTGACGAATACAATTCAATACAGGTAAGTGTGAGGTGTTGCACTTAGAAAAGTCAAACCAAGTTGGACTCGTACAGTTCTGAGCAAGGGTCACCGGACCCGAAACGTTAACTCTTTTTTCTTCACAGATGCTGCCAGACCTGCTGAGCTTTTCCAGCAACTTTGTTGTTCCTGATTTACAGCATCCGCAATTCTTTTGGTTTTTTATTTGGACTTGTACAGTAAATGCTAAGGTCCTGAGGAGTACTGTGGAACAGAGGGACCTAGGAGTACAAGTACATAGTTTGTTGAAAGCAGCATCACAGATGGACAGGATGGTAAAGAAGGCATTTGACACGCTGATGTTCATCCATCAAGGCAGGAGTATAGGAGTTGGATTATTATTTTACCGTTGTATAAGCTGTTGGTGAGGCCACACTTGAAATATTGTGTACAGTTTTGGTCACGCTGTTATAGGAAAGACATAGTTAAACTGGAAAGTGTGCAAAGATTTACGAGGATGCTGCCAGGACTAGTAGTCCTGAGTTTAGAGAGAGAGGTTGGCCAGGATAGGACTTTATTCTTTGGAATGTAGGAGAATGAAGGGTGACCTTTTGAGGTGAATAAAATCGTGAGGGGCATAGATAGGATGAATGCACAGTCTTTTTCCCCAGGGATGGGGAATTGAAAACTGGAGGGAATATACCCATTCAGATGCCTTTTAAGTGTTATAATTGTACTTGTCTCCACCACTTCCTCTTGACAGCTCGTTCCATACATTCACAACCCTCTGTGTGAAAAAGTTGCCCCTCAGGTCCTTTTTAAATCTTTTCCCCTCTCACCTTAAGTCTTATTCTTAGGGCTAAAGAGAGATCAAAGGGTACTGGAAGAAAGCAGGAACAGCATAGAATGAGACGATTAGCCTTGAACAGATTTAATGGCAGAACAGGGTCAAAAGGGCTGAACGCCTTATTCCTGCTCTTATTTTCTACATTTGTGCATCACTGGACACAAGGGATTGTCCCTGGGATCTCTTCAGGTGTAATTTGTTCAGGAAGAGGTGTCCAGACGTCTTTTAGATCTCACATGGAATCTTCAGGAAGGTTTCTCAGAAAGGCAGAGGCTGAATTGGGCAGCTCATCTCCCACAATATCAAAATATCCAAAACTCCTTACAGCCATAAACTCTGGCATGTGTCTGAGCAGTTAGTGGAAAACACACAACTTCCTGTAAACATGTTCAAACAATAATGTGATTTCTAGTGTTTATCAAAAGATGTACCAGAGCACTCTGTCCTACCTTATAATAAAAGGAATCTATAGTATTTCCGTAGCCCTTCAAATTTTCACAACCCTTTAGAATACAAAGGTGTCAAAAAGCAAAATACTTTCAAGATAGCACTTTGTAATATCATACAAGTTGAAGACTTTTACTTTCTAAAG